GACTCAGCACCCGGCTGAATTAGCCATTCAGGGTCCATTTTGAAGATCGAAACATGTCTGACTCAGCAGTAGCACTGTCCCTTACTTCACTGCCGAACAGTGACATGTCTTCAGGACATCGGCCTCACAGCTCTGATCCACTTCCTCTTCATAACATGTTTGGCTGCAAACAGCAGTGAGTTTGACACCATCTTCCTCTGGTATGGTGATATTTTCTTATATTTTAGGATTTAATAACTCACCTACAAATAAAAGCTCACACATTTGAATCAGTGACCACATTTAACATAGTCCAATTCCAAAATTAATTAGTCCCAAGTGTCCCGGCTTTGGATTTCATTATCTTTCAGTTCCCTCGGTGATAAGAACATAACAACTGCCCTATTTGCCTTTGATTTTCTGGATCTCCTTGGAGCTGAGGATCAGCATGCCGTTCTTGAAGTGGCCCACCTGACCTGAGGGGGCTGAGCCAGAACCAGAGCTCACCTTCTTCTTCTTGTCCCTGGTGGAGAAAGTAGCAGAGGCAGACACAGGTTTCAACTGCTGAGATGCAACCGAATGACTTAACAGAATGATGAATGTTCCTCAAAAGGAAATGTTTACAGATACATTCAGAAATGACATACTTTTGGTTCTTCTTCTTCTTTTTCTTCAAGTCCTACAGAGCAGGGACAGAATATGAATTTAATAACAAATTGTTTGATTACAGTTGTATGTTTTTCCATCAGTTAAAAAAGAAAAGTGGAACTACATACCTCCTAACCTCTACTGACCGTATAATATATGTAAAATCTGAACAAGCTGGTCATGAATTACTTGTGAGGCTGACTGAAAGTGCAAGTCTTACCGGCAGCACCTCCTCCTTTGCTTTCTGTTTCTTCTCTTTAATCTGCTGTTGCAGCACCTTATAGTTGACATAGTCCTTCTTAGGAGGCTAAATAAAAGATAATAAGCACTATAGGTCACTGAGTTGGCCACTCATCTATTAAAAAGCCTTGATTACAAAAGAGAACTTAGCGGTGCGGTGCTAATTAAATCTGTACAGGTCTTACTCTGGCTCCTAGCATGACCGCTCTGTCCTGTTCAAAGACACGCTGCTGCTCCTTCTTATAGCCTGTGATTCCAAACCGATGGACCTCCAGACGAGCCTGATGCAATCATACACAAATACAGTATGAGGCCATACATACTGTATCATAGTCAACTGCAGGTAAAATCTAATAATCACAGTCCCAATAATTATGTGGCAAGACACTAGAGAAGGCTGCCAGACTGAAAGTTTCTTGTTAAAGACTGCAGAATACATATGCAAATAAATGAGCCCCCAAAACAGAATCTGGTGCATCAACATGAATGTTGCTGCTATCCTCTAGCAGAACATACAGAGTAAACTGTGATAAAACCATCACCTTTTCCAAGTTGAGTTCTTCTAGCTGGTCATTTTGCTTCTTCTCGGTTATCTGAAGGGCCTTGAAGTGAGGACAGCACAGACCCAAAGGCAGCAAAGGCAAGAAGAGAAAAGTGATATGAATGGGTGGTGACAAGAAGAACACGAACAGGGAAGGCTGACTAGGAGTCACATAGTAACAGAGAGGAGATTAGATTTCAAAATATCAATGAGACAAGTTTCCTGGATGAAAACAATGCTGCTTCTGCACAAATGATCTGTGATAGTTCCCTGCAAGTTTCCAGGATGAAAAAAAATGCTGCTTTTGCACAAATGATCTGTGATAGTTCCCTGGTAGTAGTATCAAACAAAAAGAAGTCAGTATTTTTCATTAACCCTGTTGTTGGCACAGGGTTAATGAAAAATATGGACTTATAATATGGCACAGAGAGAGACAGATTTTAGACTAAACCAGAACATAACTTGTAAAAGACCCTTCTGTCATGGATACACATTTTCCAATAAGCTACACTCTGATCTTTACCTATCATCAGTCTATGCTTAACTTTTATAATTGCATAAACAAAGGAAACTTCAGTAACATCGACCTACAGGTATGTTGTCAGGTGCTGGTGTGTGCTTGGTCTTCAGTTTCTTTGTGGGGTCCTGAAATGTCACTACCTCCACCCGGTTCACCTGCTGGATGGTTGGACCTGGGTACGGATATGTCACATCAGAACAGAGAAATGAGTGGTGGAAGACTGGTGTGATTCCTGAAAGCAAACTGAGTCAGTGGAGGACATTAAAGGTCTCTGTGTTGTCACAATGCTACCTACCTGTTTGCTCAGTCTTTGGTTGTTGCTGTGCTATGTGGCCATCAGTGTCTCTGCAAACATCTTTGAATGCAGGGGACTCTTCTTCCTCACATCTTTTTCGTTTTATCTTCTTCTGAGACTTGAGCTTCAGTTTTGATGCCGCTCCATTGCCTTGATCAGTTAGCAACACTTGCATGAGTTCGTTATTTTGGCTGTGCTATTAGCATCCTTTCTCTTAACGACAATGAAATAACATTATATTATGAAATAGCATAGTATTATTATCTGAACTACTTTAATACATAACCTACTAACTTAGCGATGGGGTAAAGTTAACTTAAAGCATAGCTAACTGTCCAGTTGTTTTGGCTACGTTAGCTAACTAGTTAGCTAACATCACTTACCAAAGTCATAAAGCTTATCCAAAACTTGCTCAAGAAACAGACAATCTTCATCTTCCTCTCCGTTTGTCCTTGAGTTCATTGTAAGCTAGTGGTACAAGTAGGTTAACAAAAACGAAGCAAAACAAGCTACTGTTTTGTCAGGACTCATTCAACTCTACCGGCAGTTCACCGTGAATGACAACAAACAGTGAAAACACATGGGACACACGGGTCGAGTTGATCCCTTCTGGCTCCCGTAGTGAAAAATAACAGAAATGGCCGCTCGTACGCTCAAGTTTTTCGTCTGACGTTATCGAATACAAGTGTCATAAAAATAAAAGAGGCGGCACTGTACGAATATCTGTACACATTTAAGTTACTTGGATGCAGCATTTTTGTGTTTGGAAGGTGACAAAGTATGCCATCCAAAACAATTTATTCGGTATGTATGCTTTTGTTACAGGACTAAGCTAATTTAGCTCTCTGCTGTAGCTCAGTGCCCACAATTTGACATTTCATTCAAACAGGTGAATGCCATATTCATACTTATTTTGCTACAACGCATCTGAACTGTTCTGACTTGTGTTTGATATGGATAATAATCTATGCACATTACATTAGTTTAACTGTTTATGTAGCGTCAGTTTTTCCTTGATAATGTTGTTTACGTTAACATAGCTAACTGTCTCCATTGTACATTTTGGGAATACGGATAACTTCATTCCGTTTTCTATTATTGGCAGACTGTTGGTATATTTTCAGGTTTGTTCTGCAAATGTGCGGAATTTGCTACCAGTAAATTTATGTTTGTGGGTCACATCTTTAAATAACTGCCCGATGCCCTGCTTTTTACCCTACATCAGTGTTTTACAATACTGGTCCTCCAGCAGCACTAGCACTCTCCTAGTTGTGCAAAACAGGTGCCACTGGGCTGGAGTCAAAGTCCTTGTCCTTTTCACAATACTTGGCAGTAAAGTTTGTACTCCTGCTTAGTTTGGAATCCTGCTATACTGTCATGGAAATTAACTTTTCTTATGTTGTCAAAGCAAAGAAGGGCGTTTTTGTTTGTACAGCACCTGAAGCAAACCCAGTGTGTTAGAGCATGAAGGTGTTGTATTTAAATGTACTCCTGGGGTGTTTCTGCTTTACTGAATTAGTTTTTAACCATTTTATAGTACTTTATACCTCACTGTGCTTCGGAGGGAAATGTGAAACTTCAAAGTGAGCTTTAATCAGTTGCTATGTTTACAAAACGTATGGATAAAACTACCCAACGTTATATAAAATAGTTAAAATTAGTATGGCTTCAACTAACTGCTGGTTATTTTTGATTAATTGATTAGTTATTCGGTGAAACTGAGGTAGTGAATTGTTGACATAATTTCCTAGAGCCAAATTTGATGTTGTAATAGTTTTCTGTGTGCTCACCCAGTAGTTCACAACCCAACAGTATTCAGTTTACAACAGTGTAAAGCTAGATAAAGTGGTAAATACTTGCACTGGAAAAAAGTTTTGTCAATTTTGTTGATGCTGATGTTTTTCTGTTGATCATCTGATAAAATTAGCTGCACCTCCAAAAGGTACAAATTGATACTGTTGTGCTTTTAAAGGTAAGAGTTTGAATGCTTGATTTGATTTTGAACCTTCACTTGAGTATCTTTACTGTATTTTAGTATTCCTTTTTTTTCATTATTGTTTTGTTCCTATCTAAATACCACAGAAAGGCTCATTTTGTGAGGTGTGATTTGTCAGTAACACATCACTTGTCAATATCTGGTCACCCCATAATGCTTATTTCTTCTGAGGTAAAAATCTCTAAAGCCACAGAACTTGGTCTAGCACCAGGCTGGATCAGATCTAGCACCAGCACTCTCACCTTTCAGTGAAAGTGTGGAACATATCGCAACCAATTATGAGTTTATGTAACTGCTTGGTACTGTGAATTTGGCAGTAAAAATGTATGTTTAAATGTTTCATGGCTACAGTGTATTTTTAACATAGTGTGATGTTTTTCTTTCTTCAGCATAGAGACCCTATGCTGAAGAAAAGAGATGACTTTGAGGACATTTTGGAGGAGAGGAGGAACTCCAGTGACCTGAGATACGCTCTCAGATGTTATACTCCTGTTCTTTACAAAGGAGTGCCTCCCATTAAAGCCAGCATGTTAAAGAGTATGGTGCTTCAGTCTGGCCAGATACGCTACATCATCAGTCAGGTAAATCAGAGGTTTTGTTACAGGACTTTTCCATCTTGATTTGGACACTCAGTGATTAGACTGCTAAATCATGATTTGCCCCAAATCACATACAGTATATAGGAAGTTACAGGGTAATACTATATCTTGAACTGTCTAGGTTTCCAAAGAGATGGGCAGGGCTAATGATGACATTTTGGAGGAGGCGTCAGCCATCTTGGACGAGATGGCTCAACGCCTGCAGCTTAGCACCGTTCGCTTCTTCGTCTTCACACTCAGCAAAGTCTTTAAAATCTTGTTCAGGAACATCTGTGTCAATGAAGAGGGCATTCAGAGAGTGAGTATGCACACTGACCAGACCATAAGGCCAAAATGTCTGTGAAAAGGTTAAAAATTGTGGAAGTACATGATGTCCGACTTGCACACATACACACACTCATAGTTTTTCTTTGCTTTGTTGTTAGCTCCAACAGGCCATTCAGGAGCATCCTGTTGTTCTCTTACCCAGTCACCGCAGTTACATGGACTTCCTGCTGGTGTCGTACATCATGTACACCTACGATCTGGCACTACCTGTCATTGCTGCTGGCATGGGTAAGCTTTGGAAAGAACAGGAGGGTATACGCTGGGTTATCAGTTTATTAGGTACATGTTAAATAAATAGTAAACTTTTAATGTGTGGGTTTGTTGGCTCAGTGTCGGAGAAGTGTACATTTTGTTGAAGATGTAGACTGCGTTATACTAAAAGGTGTTTAATTTTTGGTCCGCCCCAATCTTGTATGTCACTGCAGACTTCATTGGGATGAAGTTTATTGGGGAGATGCTACGGATGTCTGGAGCGTTCTTCCTTCGGAGGTCATTTGGTGGAGACAAACTGTATTGGGCTGTATTCTCAGAGTATGTCAAGACTATGGTCAAGGTGAGGATACCTTTCTGTCATTAGGGAGAGATGGTGGCATTTGTTTTTTTTGAAAGCCCTGTTCCATATTTGGTGCACAGCGCCCAGTGATAGAGGGTGAACATAATCCATACAACGTCTGTGACATAAGTAATTATTTCTGTAAGATGCAGATCTTTGTGAGAGAATTAACATTCGTGTATTTTTTAACTCCAGAATGGAGTTGCACCAGTTGAATTTTTCCTGGAGGGAACCCGAAGCAGAACGTGCAAGTCTTTGACTCCAAAATTAGGTGAGGAACAAGTTCTTAGCAGAAGTCCGATTTTTGATGAGCCCCAGATGAGATGCTGTGATTTTGTTTTTCTGTTTTTTTTTTTTTTTTCTCAGTTTCTTATTAAAGCATACAGTGTATATCGAGGGTCTAAGAACTGAGGCTGTTCCATGCTGTACAGATTATCTTTTTTTCCTCCTTGGGGCAGATTTGTGATGTGTGATATTAGGCTACAATAACAAAATTGACAATACAACAAAAACGTGAAAAAGGTTTTTCAACATGATTCTACAAATGTTCCAGGTTTCTGTAGTGCAACCCATTTTCACTGTGACCATTCCTTTTTTGACAGTCCTCCTCATTTTTTTCTTGTCTTTCAGGTCTGTTGAATATAGTGATGGATCCATTCCTCAAAGGGGAGGTGTTTGATATTAGCTTGGTCCCTATCAGTATCAGCTATGAGAGGATCTTAGAGGAACCACTCTATGCCAGAGAACTGCTGGGTGTCCCCAAACCCAAAGAGTCCACTTCAGTGAGTCACTTCAACACCTGGCCTGTGTATATAGAAATAAATAAACTGCTGCTATTTGTGGTCGTGTATAGTAAAAGCTGTAAAAATGTAGAAGTTATATTTTGCAGCCTGAAAAAAGCATGCATGTACTTACTAAAGTCTGCTCTGCTCCTCTTGTTCACTCTTCTTTGTAGGGCCTGTTTAAAGCCAGAAAAGTCCTCAATGAAGACTATGGCAGTATCCACGTGTACTTTGGTCAGCCTGTGTCACTCAGAAGTATAGCTGAGGGAAGAGTTAACCGCTGCCAGTTCAACCTGATACCAAGGTAAACTATGCAAACGCTGGGGACTATACAACGCTGCTTTTCTACTGCAGGATCTTACCTTTACCTGGAGCCTCCCACAACCTGAAACTGTTGGGCAAAGGTGATTTATTTCTGCTTTGTTTTCCACTTTATTTACAAACCTGGCAGGATCAGTTGTATGTCATTGAAAAGGCAGCACAGTGGGACTGGTGTCATCATGTGCCCATTTTGTGGTCCGTATTGTTCTTCATTATAAAAGTAGTCCTCCTACATGTACACACAGAAGAGAAGTGAAAATCAGAAAGTACAATTTAAGCCCCTGTAGTGTAAAAGGGGCACAAAATCAGCACTAAGACAGTTGCAGTCTCATGCATACACTCTCCAGACCATACAGTAGGTATGGGTCTCAGCTAACTGAAATAATTGACACTACTGTACATTATGAGTTGTGTATTGGGAGTCTGACTATGTTAATCCACACTTAAAGGTCAGCGTTCATGTAACATTTCCAAACTAAATGTTTGTGTAGCTGTTTGAAAAGTCGCTCCCCAGTGTGTTCAGTTTTCACATTTCCAGAATGTCTTTGATCAGTTTACATCTTGACTTAATGCACTGTTTCTGCAGAGCAGTACTCTCGTGGGGATTTATCAAACCCAAGTTAAACACTGTACAGTGTGCACGTCTGGTGGATTATCCAGCTGTGAACATGGATTAACTGTAAACTTTCCATTTCCAGACACATCCCCAGGAAGCCCAGTGAGGAGATCCACAACTTTGTCAATGACTCTGCCTACAGGCTGGTACGGGCGCAAGAGGAGAACATGGTCCTGAAGCCGTGGGCCCTACTGGCCTCTCTGCTGCTCCAGAACCACCACCAGGACCAGAAGATGGAGCAGACACAAGGGATTGCACTGGACAAGCTGACTGAACAGGCTCTGTGGCTCAGGGATGTTTCCCGACAGTACGGAGCTTTCCTCCTCTGGCCTGGTACAGTATGAGCCCAGTCCTCCCTGTTAACAGGCAGATTCAGTGCTGTCACAGTGAGACTGAAGACTCTGTGTGCTCCACTGTGCTGACTAACAAGTGGCTTCTGTTAAAATCAGATGCTGTATTTGAGCAAGAGAATTGTGCTGGGACAAGGCATTTATTGAATAGCCAAACTATTAATAAGCTATACTGTGCAACACGCTACTACAGGTGTGTACCATAAGAGTCCATTTTGAGACAATATTACTGGAAATGAAATGTTTATAGAGAATTACTTAATTACAAAAATGTAAACAGTTTTATATTAGTTTTATACTTTAGACTTAGAATATTTTATCACTTATAAATACAGTCAAGAGACTAAGATGCATCTATGTAGCGTTTAGAAGTGTAGACATAAGATGGTTGTTGATGGCTTCCTTGTCTGTATGAAGTCATAGTTCCATCTGTTTGTAGACTGTTTTGTGAACTCAAGAACCAAAAAGGTGCAAGCTTAAACATAAATCCACAAGTCCTTTATGTGAAGTAGATGATGTACTGTAATTAGATTTAAATAATGGTCTGCACAGATTTGCATACTGAATTAGTGTGAGACTACATGTCGCTGTCATTGAATGGTTCGGCAGTGTTGGTACCTTTTTGTTTTTCACACAACTGACAGTCTTGTGCGGCGGCAGGTCCATTAACTGCTCTCTCCCTTTCATCTTTGTCTCGTCCTCATCAGTTCTGTCTATTCTGACTTTTATTTTCTCCTTCAGACCACATGCCTCCATCAGAAATAGTCTCCTCCAGTCTTTCTCTGCATCAAGGCCTAGTGAGGATCTCTGAGGGAAGAGTCCACCTGGCGTTGGAACAAGGTTGGATTTTTCTGCCTTGATTTGTGTATATATGTTTCTGTATCCCTTTTCATTCCTTGTAATATCAGCACTGTCCTGCAAAGTTCAGTAAGGATACAGTTTAGACATCCAGTTGTCTCTCAGATTTACTTACAGTAGAGTAGAACCAGTACAAGGACAACATTTCATTGTGACACTGATAAAGTTGAGGACAGTGTCCTTGAAAAGGGAACATACTGTAGCTGTGTGAAGAAAGTGTTCAGCAACAAGTGAGACAAAGATGATTGTGTGATTGTACATCTTGTCTTGAAGCAGGAAGAAAAGCAGGGCCAGGGGAGCCTCAAGGCGCTGTCACCCCAGAGGAGGAGCTCTGGAGTCAGGCAGTCATCGTACTCTCCTGTGCCTCCTACAGGAACCAGGCTATGCACATCTTCCTCCGGCCAGCGCTGCTAGCCTCCGCCATCCACGCTGCCACCTCCAACAAAAAACGTACGACTGACACCGGTTTGCCTGTTTACATGTGCTGCTCTCTTCTTGCTGAATCATTATAATAAACTAATTAACATTACAGGTGATTAAGTAAAGAGAGAAAAACACAAACTGTGTAATTTAGCAGTTTTATTTTAACATCACTTTCTGGAATTTATCAATTTGACAGAAGAATGTGCTTGGATAAATATAATTTGAACTCTGTGTGTAACAGAGAATGGGATGAATACCTTTCATAGCCACTGTGCAGTATGTGGAGTTTTAGTGTAAATATGTGAAACTCTTAACTTTGACAAAGGAGTTCAGCCAGTTCAACTTCAGAAGAGAAAGGCAAAAAAAAACTCTTTTCAGCTTTTTCATGGACTTTTGTGCCAGTAAACAAACTTACACAGATAGTGTTGATACTAAATATGGAAAGTACATGTTTTCATGTCATTGTGTGTTTTCCAGAGGAGGTCTTCAACACTTTCAGCTTCCTGAGAAACATGTTCTCCAATGAGTTCATCCTCTGTCCAGGCGCTACAGTGCAGGTGAGGAACATCAATTATAAATAAATGTTTAAATGTAGGAAATTTTATTCTTTACTCTTGTTACGTGCCTTGTAGGACTTTGAGGAGGCCTGTTACCTGCTAATGAAGACCGGAGCGCTGCAGGCCAGCCAGCAGGAGCTTGTGGTGACAGAGAAAGGGCACAGAACACTGGCCTTTCTCACCAGTATGCTTGACCCATTCTTACAAGGATACCAGGTGTGTGAGACAAACGCAGTGTGGTTTAGAAAACTACTCAGGTGGGTCACATTTTCTCTACAGATGGTAGTGTGCACATCCACTCCAGTAGTTAGGCCCTTCCATGACGACTGTTGAGGGTGAATTTTTATATAACTCACCTGTTTAAATTATATTCAGGCTTCATTTAATTAAGGACATGGTAATTTTTGAGTGACAATTTACATCAAATATTAAGTTTCAGTGAGTAGGATATGATTCTGCAAGTCATGCAGTGTGCAATAGCAAGCTGTTTGTATCATGTTATGAAAGCTCAGTATAGTTATGTTCTTACTTGGACTTAAATTCAGTTCCAGGCAGCATTCAGCATTTCTTTAGGCACATAGATTTATACAGTATATGTACACATGCATTATTTGCACAAATTATAATATGTACAAATGTCAAACATTTGAAATCAGTGCTTGTTTTTAAATGGATCTTGCAGCACAGAACAGTTGGGGTGTGTTACACTATAGATGTCCTCTAGAGGTCGCTGTTAACACATCAGCAGTGTTAATAGCTGTGTGTGTGTGTGTGTGGGGGGTCCCAGGTGGTGTGCAGGTTCCTGTGTGAAGAGGCCACTGAGAATTTGACAGAAAAACAGTTTATTCCATCCATCCGGAAGTTCATCGTGAAACTTCTTCTATCAGGTTTCTTTCTCTAAGAGTTTATTTTTCTATTACTTCTGGCTGTGCTTTCACATTACCCTTCAACCAAACTGACTGAGAGTTGTATATGTATTATCCAGGTAGTCTAAGATACACCGAAGTGTTGTCGTTTGACCTCCAGAAGAACGCTCTGGCAGCTTTGCTAAGACTTGGAGCTGTACAGAAAATCAAAGGGTATGTTGGTTTTGAAAGTCCTTGTGTCTGTGCTTGGTTTGATTGGCTGAAGCAAGAAATACAAGCTAAAAATGTATTCTTCATATACCTTCTGTTCTTTAGACCATCAATTCAGATAGGAAAACTCAAAATAAGCATTAACTGGGCAAAAAAACGATGCGACAATAGCAAAAGACACTATGGCAAAACTGTTTTGGGAAAAAATAAAATTAGCTGAAAATCCACCAAGAAGCTGTAGTGCTAAGAATAACAACACTAATCCTTAGTCAATCCACTGAAAATGCTATTAAAATTTTTCATTGGAACTACTTTAGAACAAAGAACTCAGCTGTAGTTGTTTAGTTATCTTGAATGCTGACTTGTTTTGTGCTGAAAGTAACGTGCACTTCAATGCTTTTACTTCAGAGCAGAGCAGGAGACTTTAAAGGTGAACACGGTGATGGTGAACTCACTGGAAGACACTTTAGGTAAGAAGCACACAGCTGGAGCCTAAACACCAGCAGGGGTAAACAGTGTTTTGGTTATTGTCTGGCTTTTAAAACAAATCTCAAATTTGTGTGTTTGTCTAGGGGGAAAACTCCCCACTCAGAACGCCGTCATCGCTCGGCTATAATTTACCCACCCCATTTAGCCGAGGTGTTGAATTTTTTTCATGCATTGATGAACCGTGAAGATGTCTTGGTGCTTCTCTGCACTGTACGGTTCGATTTGGCCCGGCTTACCACAAAGGCAGTCCAGCCTGCTCTCTATGAGAGATGGAACAAACGCCATCTGGAGACAGCTCAACCCGTTTTACTTTCTTTTTCTTCAGACTCGGTGTTCTCATAACTTCTCCTTTCAAGATGCCCTTTTCTTTCTGAGGTTGTTCTATTAAAAAATGTTTTATATGCATACATAAAACTGGAGGATGAGTAAGGCCATTGAAGGCATATTGCTAAGCTTATTTGATTCATTCTGAATAACTGACCTTTTGCAGTTATGATCAGCTTGTAAAAGCTTTTGGATGTGCCAAATCCACTCAGGATAGTGGCAGTTCTCCATTAATGCATTGGGTATGTATCCTCTAACACTCAGCAGGGTTTTTCACTTTGTTATTTTCAGTCTGAGCTTCAGACTGTGTCTGTTACTGCTAGTCCCTTAGTCTTGTCTCTCTTATTGAGCACTTTAATGTGATGTGGGCCTATCTGTTAGCTCTTTTCCCCTTACATTTTCAGTTTTTGTACAACAAGAGTAGTTAAAATTGCTGGATAAGAAAATTTGAGTGGTTACATATCAGGTTTTGGTAAAATCTATATTCTTTTTGTACTGTGTGAACTAAAAAGTTTATATATGCGAGTTGAACTTGCCACATACACAAAGCCAGCTTCAAAAACAGCTGGTGCAAGGTGTCAGTGTTGGATTTAATCCACCCTGGTTCAAGTTTGTCGCCCAGCCATTACTCCAGACAAAGGACTACATTAATCTTTGTTTATATAGTGGAGATAATACTACAAGTCTAATGGCAGTGTTACACAGTCGCCACCCTCCTTACACTACCAGCTATACCAAAGGAATAAGTTTGTCATTTTTGTTCATTGTTTCCTTATGTTCTCAAGTCACATAGTTACATATATTGCAGTTTATAATCCAGCCTTCATTTATATTCAAAGAAATAGTACACACTTTGTATTGTTTTGTTACAAGGGAAGGAAAAATAAACTGAAACAGCAGTAACTGTGACACAGAGACTCAGAGGAACTATGCTGATTACACACAAGAAGCTTGAGAAGTGTCAGACCAACAGGTGATTTTCTTTTGTGTGTGTGAGACTCAGGATTACCCACTTAGCTGACATGTTCAAAAGGGAATCATTTTACAGCAGTGATGCCAGATTAAAACTAGATTGGTTTAAAGATCCTTATATTGAAGTTATTTATTTGAGTTATTCAGTAAATCCTGTTACCTTGAAATCACATCTCAGTGTCGCTACAGGCAGAGCTGCTTAGGGGGCAGAAAACGTCTAAACCTCAAAGTAGAGCACACAGGCTCCTCGATATGGTAATTTCAGACTGATCCCCCCCCCAAAAAAAATCTCTTTTGGCTGCAGGAACATTTCTAGGAACCGTAGACATTTTGAGATACTGAGAAAAGTTATTTTTGTCAAATTTTGTGTAAAAGGGAGACCTCGCTTTGGATTTTTATAGGCTGCACTATTTGTGCATGGGCCTCTAAACCAGCTAACTCTCGTGTTAAAAGGTTCCACTCTCTTCTCCTTTTGAAAAACTATATTGGTAGTAGTTTCTCACACCGGTGTTCTGGTCTGGTGGAAAAGACGGGGCATCATCTGATTTTTCACAGACCAAATGCTCATCTGAACAGTTGCTAATGATGGAAGAAATCTAATGCTTCTGCTTTTACAGTAAATAATCACTGTACCAAAATACCAAAGACATATTTGAGGTAATTTAGAAACAGTCTCTTTACTACACAGTTTGGCCACATTTATTCTTAGCAACTTTATTTTCAAGTGAAAATTAAATTAAACGTTCAGCTCAAATGCATCTTTGATACAGTTCTTCCAAAAGTTAATGAGCGTTTCTAACATATCTAAGTTATTTTTAGCAGTATTGACCTAAGTTTTCATTAGAATGTCTTTAGTGTACCTGGCTCCTCTCTGAACATCGAGCCAGGTTGTTTAATGTGTACTAATGTTTGTTTTATTTTTTTACTAGCCATGCTAACCTGCTGAAGATATAAATGTTCACACATTAATATAAAATACCACCACTGTCTTTTGTTAATCACATCCACCAGAAGCTAAACTTTTGCTCTTTAAACACTTGCTCTTAGGCTTCACTCACTAAGGATGATTCAACCGATAACAAAGCAGTTATGCATTAAAGAAACGGTTGTAGAACAACAGTCTGGGTGTCAACGTCATTCAAAG